TTCTTCTCTATTTTCTGCAATTTTCATTATGAGTAGCTAGACTTTTAATAGGGTTGTGACCCAACCCTTGTGTGTAAATTTTATGGGTATCTAATTTAGTGCTTGTTTATGATTGGGTGTTGATTATTTAGCTTAGTTCACGCTTCAATTTTAGAATTAATGGTTGCAAGCATTGATTGATGCCTAATTGACTTAATCTCCACTTGAGAAAGAGGGGCCTAATCTAGGCTAACTTAGCTAACAAGGAATTTGGTTGATTGAGAGATTGATTAACTTAATTAGAAGGTTCAAACCAGAGATAGTAATAACCCGACTTGAGCTCTTATCAACTATTTTGTTTGATACCCATTTGGACTTGAGAAAGCTAAATTAGGCAAAATTACTCTCTGGCCGAGAGGTATTGAGTAGGTAACGTAGAGTTGAGAGCTATAAGATACCCCAATCAACAAAATAAGCATTAATGTATTTATCCCATTAGGAAAACACTTAGGTTATGGTCATAGCCTAGGCCTTTAATCCAATTGGAAAAACCTCAAAAATATTTATTTATAATCTATTTTCTTTATCTTGCATTCATTAGAGTAACAGTGGAAATAGAAAACAAAACCTTGTTGTGGAAGTACCATCTTAGATAACCTATTTGCTTGCTTCAAATATATAGTCCTAACTCCCATTGGATTCGACCCCGACTCCTAATTGGGTAATTATTATTGCATACGACCGTGTCATGTCTCTTATTGAGGTGTGTTGTGGACGTGATCAGATCCGTGTCAGCTTGCTGAGTTGGAGGGGGTCGATCTCACGAGTCTCCCCCTCGGATGCATCCCAATCCCCAGGATAGGTCATCCCATGAGTTACGAAGACAGATTCTTCCTCTGGCTCATCCCTAAGCTGGAGGAGGGAGTCAGAGGCAGGAACACGGGAACTGGAGCCCCTCATGGGCTTGCGAAGCACCCGCTTCTTAGGTTTAATCTCCTTGAGGCTCGGGGATCCCGAGGGTTATCTTTTCCTCTTCTTCTTTCCCTCCGTGGATGCAACAGAGGAATCAACGGGAGGGGGCACATCTTCTTCCCCTTCCGAAGGCCTAAGTTTGGTGGTCTTAGTCAAACCTGCAATGATAAAGAAGAGGGGTTAGTATAATATAAGGTGGAGACGTAATGTTGGCTATTCGGATAGAGACCTTACCGTGAGAACGGGCTTCTCATCGACCCTTTGAGAGTCCGCGCCATGTGTGCTCTAAGTAGGACATCTGAGTACAAATGCCCTCGATCCACTCCTTTAAATGGGGGACCGTATTAGGAACCCGGGCAACAACTGCAGAGCCACAAACACGAATAAGAAGATCGAAATAAAAGAAGAAGAGATTTTGATGTTAAAAAAAGGAGTTTCACTTACGATACACATTCCATTTCTTAGGGAATGGCATGTATTCTGAGGGGATCAAATCCTCGATTTTCACTCGGACGAAGAGTTCCTGCCAGCCCCGGTCTCGGTCTTCATTGATACTGGAGAAGGGGGCCTTGCTGGCCCGGCGTGTAAGCTTGATCAGCTCCCCTCAGAACATACGGGGACTGTATAATCGAAGCAGGTAGTAGATCGTGAACCGACGAGATTCGGTCTTGTTCACGAAGTAACATAGGAGAGTCACGATCCTCCACAATGATGGATGGATTTGCCCGATACACACTTCGTACCTCTCTGCAAAAATCCAGGATGATCGGGTCCACCTGGCCCAATGTAAAGGGATAAGTGTAAACACTTAAATACCCTTCCACGTGGGTAGTAACAGCGTCCTCGGGCTCGTGGACTACTACGTCCTTGCCTTCCCAATTGTAGTCCTTACGAACTATAGGAAGAATGTTATCTGTCACGGAACATATATATCTCGAGACTCCTTCGCCCCGGTCTTGTTTGCGCAAAGGCTTCTCGACCTTGAAATCGTCTGCAATTGAGAAACCCCCGGTGATAAATGCCGACAAATAAGGATCGGGGGCCGGTTCGTTAGCAGCCGCAATAGGGGAAGCCATTTCGAGGGGCACCACCTCGGGGGCGGCTGCTTCAGTACCAGCGGCCGGTTAAGAAGATGAAGAGGCAACTTGTTGAGTAAAGGTTTTCGATGTTTTTTCCATTGTCATCTTTGAGAGAGTTTGAAAATTTGAGAAATAAACACGAAGTTTGGGAGAAATGAGTTTTGAAGACGAAGAACAGGGTATGAAGATTTGAAGAAATTTTGGGTAGAAATTTGGAGATTGCTATGGAGATTGAAGAACAGGGATGAAGATATGAAGATTTGAAGAAGGTTTTGGTAATGGTTGGAAGGCTCGAAGATACCAGTTTGATCGAAAAGTAGAAAAAGGACAAATGAAGGAGGCTTTTATAGGGAAACAGCCGACGCTTCGCATTCGGAGGCAACCTGCCGGTGAGCTACATGTGTGCGAAGTCAGAACGACGCGATTGATGGGACGCTTTGGCTCCCCGTTGTAACTTACGAGGGAAGGAACCAGAGTCATCTGTCGTTTCCCATCATTTCGGCTAGCCTACTCTCTGAAAAATGAGGGAACTATCTGTATACGGGTAAAATCGAGCCCGCTGCATGACTCGACTTCCTGGTGAGCCAAGCGGAGCAGGAAGGTGACCGTAATCACTACTAGAAATCCGGTAAAAACTGACCAAAAAAACCGACCAACGTTAGTTGGTAATGGACAAAAATAGACCAAAACGCAACCATTTATGCGTGGACGGTATTTTTGTGGTCGAAAAGGCATACCGACCAAAGTTGGTCAAAAATTACCGACCAACTTTGGTCGGTCAATTAAATTCAAAAAAATATATTGCAAAAAAAACCGACCAAAGTTGATCTAAGTCATATCCTCGAGGTCCGATTTAAGCATTGAGACTTCAGAGAACATTACCAAGCAGTTGCACACGACTAACAAAGGGCTGTGATATCTGTACCTAACCAGATATCAGGACGTGAATCTCGGCTCGTATCGACGGAAAATCAGTGATCGTCGAAACGGAAGATTTTCATCTTTTTTAGAATTGCACTTAGGGTAAAACTCTCATACTATATAAAAGGGAAAGCTTATTATTCATAAATGATATTGTAACACGCATATCAAGACAATATACTCATATTCTCTCTGTTATCCAATATTCTTACTTTTGTTCATCAGTTCTTCGTTAGTGTGAACCCGGGATCGAAGGCAAACACTTCGTTGAGTCGTTACTGAATCCGGGACCATTCTCCTTATTGGTTTGACAATTTATTACGTCTTTTACTTGTTTAATCTAACGTCATTTATCATTTGTATTAAATTAATCCGCATATCCTTAAAACCACATACAAATTCAATTGTTATCCATTTTTCAGGGTAAACAAATTTATTTTTCAAACTGATAAAACTCTTAAGGTACATTGACTTTATTTCTACAAGAAGAGCTTACATCTGTTTTTCTAATTTTACTTACATAATTTTTTATAATTATATATGCATTGATGTAAGCGTATCGTAAGACTAGTATAAAATAAAAATGATTTAAATTAGACAAGGGAGTAGACTTTGTCAATTTAGCTACTCTATTGAACTTTATATTTTTGGGTACAAATAAACAAACAAATAAAATCCATGTATTTGGTTTAAACTATTTGGAGTTATGGGAAATGTGTAAATCCATGGCGTTGGAGAAGAGCATAACAGGTGGAGATGTGAAAGAAAAAGACGAACAATAGTTATCCAATTAGTCCAGTTTTTCGGAAGATTTGAAAGTAGAGATTTTGTGCCGGTTAATTACCGGAGAAACCTCTAATGGCGTTCAAAAGGGTGTCCAGAGATTGGTAGTTTCTAATTTATTATGCTTCTATTCCTACTATTCCTAGACTATCTCCACCATCACCGTCGGCCCTTATTTGTGCCCTCTACTTTCTGTGCTGTTAAAATTCTCCACGACACTCGTTGGTTCCTTGTAACTTACAAAATTAAGCGCATGTCATTTGATTGGTATGACGTCAAAATATGTGGCTGTGAGACAAGAATATTAGACCAAGCTTTTCCTTACTTGTGAAGCCTCGTTGTACTCAATAATATCATCCATAGGATCATCTGTCTCATTCAGAATCTCGTCAAGTCAAAAATCACAGTTCTTCTCACAGTGCAGTTTGTCTATTAAACATGAAGTTTTAGAAGCAATATTGTCCTTAAGCCCAATGACTATGTAAGGATTAAGAAGACAACTTATTTATAGTTGTTCAGGCAGGGATAATTGATGTAATAGACAGTGGCGGACCCAGGATTTTGTGCAAGTGGGTTCAATCTTAGAAGTACATAATTTTAATCGTAAAATAGTAGTTGTCAAGTGGATTCAAATAAAATATTTATATAAAATTTATGCAGCTTTAATCGTAATTTATACATATACACAATATTATTTTTGACGAACCCGCTTTCCACCATGTGCGTCCGCCACTGGTAATAGACCTGGATAGATCATACATGTTACTATATTTGAGTTTATTTGTTTTTCTTGTAGAAGAAGGTAGTTACTACTTTAACACCACTTTTGCAAATCCAAGTTTTCAGCTGTTTCAATTTGTCTGTGGTATACAAGAGAAGAGTTGGTCAAAAAAGAATAAAAATAGGTCAATTGTAACAGATTCAAAACACCACGTATGAACTATCCTAGTTATTGAAGTAGTAATTTTCAAGAACTTGAGACAGTAGTAATCTACTCAAAGGTATCGGCTCAAACGAATGTATGCTTAATGAGCTTTCTACGAGTTCATTAATCAGCACGACTAATTGCTTAATACTTGACATTTACCAATGTGCTTTTTAGTGTTTCCATGCTTAGATAGTATGTTGAGCAGTGCAGAAATAGTTTTCTGATGGAGGAAAGTTTAAGAGCACCGGAAGGGGAAGTATCAGCTCTTCCTTTCCTCCTTGTGCCCATTTCAGAAGCCTCCACTCGAAATCATGCTAAGTCCTAAGGAGAACGTGTAATGAACACTTGAATAGGAAACATAATAATTATGATAAGTTAGAAGGTTTATGTACTGCCAGTGTAAAAAACCTGATAAAACTGGTAAACTAGCAATTATCACGGCTTCACAGGTTAAACTAAAAAAATTCTTTGCATTACCAGTGTATATAAACTTAAAATTCTAAGCAAAATGTGTGTCATGCGACATGCTGCTCTGCATACATGAGCTGATATGGTTATCAGAGGCTTCTTCTTTTGCTACTCTTCTCTTCTTCGACTATCTGTTTACGAGCAGCACAAACGCTAGTTCACGTTCTTAGAAACATAAAGCAAATCCAGAAATGACATTAATCTTAATACCTTTTTGGTCATGTATTGCAAGATTTCAAGAATCTCAGAAAATTCAGGTCTTAAGCACGGATCTTGCTGCCAGCATCTCTCAAGTAATTCCACAAACATCGGATGAGTGTGCGTGGGAATTGTCGGTCTTAAACCCTAAAGTTGATGTCAGAAAATTCAGCTAATGAAGGGAAAAACCTCAACTTCACAGGGGAAATTTCTCAACCCGAAGAAAATATGGAAAATTGTGTAGTCCAACCATAGTTAACGAGTTATCAAGTTGAATCTTTCAAAATTTCTAGAGGACAAGATATGTTTATTTATTGAGAAATACCTTCTGGACCACAGCCACTGCAGCTTGTAATGGGGTCAAGTACTCGTAAGGAAGCTGATATATCAATATCAACAAAAACGATTATTGACACTGAAAAATTTTAAAGCCAAGAAAATGCTCATGAGGAAGCAGCTATGAACAAAAATGACATAAGCTAGTGTAAAAGGTTATAGTGTGAACTCCAGAGTTCATAAAATTTGTAACAAGATCCATTTCCCATAATAAGCTTGTCAACATGTAAAACAATGATCTTAGGCAACATAAAAGTTTTAAGCAAAATGTGAATAGGAAATTGAAGGGCACATGAAACTTTATGAAAAAGCTTTATTCAACAAAAACTTTATGATTTGCAGGCAAGATTCCTTATATTTTAATGTTCTCCCGCCCTTTCTCTTCCCTATGTTCTTATAAAAGAAAGAAAATGGAAGAATCAATGGGAGAAAGCATTACCTTTCCTGTTAGCAGTTCCCAAAGAACAATCCCAAAGCTGAAAACATCAGCTTTTCGATCATATGGTCTATGTCCAATAACCTTTGAAATATCAAATAAAAGAAATGAAAATCAGGAGGAGTGAACTGCTTGAGATTGATGTCATGTTTGGAAAATATAACCGTTACAAGCATCATTTCTCTGCATTCATTTGAAAGTAAGTTGGGCTGATTGCATGAGTTACTCTATAGTAGATCATGGATGCAATTTCAACTACATCTGTTTTTCTTATGACCATTTCTTGATCGGACTGGGACTGCGTTTTACTAAGGACCACAATCAACTAAGTTCACAACACATGAACTAGCAGAAAAATGATTGATATTGAAGAAGAGGGAAAGAGAGGTAGGGTGGACCTCTGGAGCCATCCAGCGATATGTTCCTGTTTCTGCAGTCATGACACCAGACTGAACTTGCACTCGAGCAACACCAAAATCAGCAACCTTCACGAGCTGTCAAGAACAAGCTGTAAGTACTTTGTATAGAGTCCTTTTACATATAAAGTTAAACAGGAAATCAACTTCATTCTTTACTTGATTTTCATCCATCAAGAGATTGGCAGTCTTCAGGTCTCTGTGGATTATGTTGTTTTGGTGCAGGTAGATCATCCCCTTTGAAACATCAATTGCAACCTTGAGTACCGATGGAAGATTGAAAAGACCTTTCGTTTTATGCAGGAAATCGTACAGACTTCCACCTGACATGAATTCTGCATAGAAGAGGATATTTAAAATAAATGAAAGGAGGCTTTTCCAGTAAAAGGTAAAACTAAACTAGACAATCAGTGTGCTCTTGAACTAAAAAGCATCTAATGTGACACATTAATCTCTAGGAATACCTGTGATGATACATAGGAGTGGAGGTTTTATACATGCACCAATAAATTGCACGACATTCTTATGGCGGACTTTCCTGTAAAGTACCAGAAAGAGAAGGAAATGTACACTATCTTAGACACACGCAGAGGGTAGAAGTCAAAGCAAGAAGTTGACAGTAACATTGCAGCAATCAAACAGGACAGAATATTGTTGTTGAAAGCAAGCATATATAGTCACCTTAATATATAAACTTCTTGGGCAAAATCTTTTTGCACTACTTCATTTAGGCACTCAGCCTTGAGAACCTTAATAGCCACTTCCTGACTTTGGAATGAACCCTTATACCTGCCAACAAGATAAATTATTAGGCCATAGTCAGTAAATAATAGATTATTGTTTCAGAATGTCATTCTACTAACAAATCACCAGTTGAGCCAGTTGCAATTTTATATTCATATTTCAGCAATGCAGCGTCAATTTCCCAGGCTTCACTCCCATTGCTTGGTATATCCACATGGTTCGCGGTGAAGTTGATACCAGCTTTTACCAAATCCTTTTTAGGGGATAAAAGGACTTGATTTAGCGCAGACTGCAGAAGGTGCTGATTTAACGCAGACTGTTTCTGCATTGCATTTTAAAACTTAAGATAGACACAGATGATAGATGAAACAACATTACTAAGCCCAATCTATGACTTTTACCTCCATATTTGAAATTTCCTTCAACAGGGTACTTCTTAGTTGGTCGGTTTCCTAACAATTAGGAAAGAGACTAAACGTCAACAATTGTATAAAGATGATGGAGAGTGAAGTTTCATTCTCTAGCAACCAAAACAGTATTTGCAACTATCGAACACAGTTTTTGCTCAGTGTAGAGAAAACATTCATCACAATAGCTGCAACCAATTGGTTGAGGGAATAGTAAATGAATCCAAATACAACAAAGTGATTGTTCAATAAACCTAGAAGATACTTCTTTACAGCCTTTAGGATATTCTTCAACGTAATTTATGCATTGTCATCGAGAAAGGTGAAATACAGGAATAGCAATCAACTACTTGCAGGAATCTTAATGAATGTTTAGGTTAGCTCGGGAGACCAGATAAAAGAAAGGCACATAAGCACAGAACTAGAGAAGATGTGGTTCACTGTCATAAAAGGATGTGATAGCTCAATTTCAAGCATAAAACTATCATTAAACAAAGTATATCTAAACTTGAGTCTTAGGAGAGTACCTCATTTCCCCAACCATCAACCACAAAGACATCCAAGGAGTAACCATCTTTTGTGGAGAAAGCATGAGCTTCTTGAATGTTCAGCCCAATCTCCGAAAATAAGGAAGTCAACTGAAGTTAAACGTGCATTAACCTTAATCATATATCTTGAAAACAACTGAATGGAGAAACTTTTAGAGAATCTTTAGAGAGGACAAAGCAGACTAAGTGAAGAATATCACTATAGGAGAAATCCCTTATGCTTATCTTCTGATTACCCCCCCAGTTACATGTTCCTCACTTGACGAATGTTTAGTCGTAAGCCACATACTAGTTTGGCGACATGGTGGTAAATGACTAAGAAGAGTAGAACTATTAATATTAGTGTTTATGCAGGGCTTTAAATCCCAATTGAATCAGAATTCAAGGTTCTCTGGACAATAGAAGCATGCACAACAAATAATATAATATACTCTCTGAAAGAGAAGGAGAGAGGGAAGGCAATGACATAGTGTACCAAGTCTATAGAGAGATGTGCTCAGATAATAATTAATTCTTTTCATTACTTATGATAATTGTTACATGATCGTTTAGCTATTCCATCCATTGCAGAGAAACTAGGCAACGTGAACACGGTTTGAAAAAAGTCGAGATGTGCTCATTATGTAACTATAGTGAAGAAGAGGCAAATGCCATTCAGTCCTAAAATGTATATAATAAAGACTTGATTGTGAACTACATGGTGTTTGCAGATTATCCTCAGAAACAGAAGATACTATCAGATTTCTGGTCTGGCTACTGAAAATGCTTACCTGAGTGAGGAGCTTGGGCTTGTCAAGTGTTGAAATTGTTATTTCATACGAAGACCTGCAAAACAAAGTAAAAGAGGTAAGTATTAAATAAATTCCCTGAAAATGAAAGCATCATAGACTTGCAACATTTCAGAACACTGAAAAACTCCTTATGGACGACAATAGAGAAAAGGAAAGCTCAATAGGAGAATATTACCGAAATAACAGTGAATTTCCACTGACAGCACTATTTCCATCTTGAACATGTAACTTATTAGCTTCTAATGCAAGCTCTGTACTTGGTGACAAACCAAAGGCAGGTGGAGGATGCATGCTGTAATTTGATAAACAAAAGGAAAAAATGAATATAGAAACAGCCTATTGAAGCAGCTTTCATCACTATTCTGAGCATAGGAAGGAGAGTTCAGATATATATTTATATTTGTATTTGTATCATCATGCCTCTACCTGCCATTGTGATCAGTACCTTGTGCACCTCCCCTTTTTGAGAAAGTGGAATGAACTGAATCCCCTGGATTTCCATCGGATATTCGATGAATCTGGATTGCGCAAAAGTCAGATGAATAAGTTCTTATTCAATTTGCTTCAGGCATGCTAATCAGAAAATGTAAACTTAAAAGATACTCCTAGTAAAGAGAAATTGTAAAGAAAATAGGTGTATATCTTACTGAATAAAGTATACTAGACTTAAAAAATACATAACAGATTGAGATGAAAAGTCTTAGTACAGAGAAAATTCAAGATTTTGACACACTCCTGCTAAGGAATCAACTCGCATTACAGAAGGGATCAGGCCATTTGTCTAGGATGTTATCAAGTTAGAGCAGAGGACTTCTTCATGACTGGAAAACAAATCACAGAAAGTTATTGCTGTAAACAGGTTTTCAATTCTAAAGCAATTAGCTACAAATGTTTGATAATCATCATTAATTCAAGTGACCATTCCATCAAATATCCCTATGTCCATGATTGAGTTCAAATAAAACTTTTAAATAAGATGGTCACACTCTTCAACATAACATTAATTAGAGCAAGCAGAAATCCTGAGTTCGAATCTTACCGCCACCCATTATCAAAATAAGAATTTTTAAGTGATTGGCCTAAGAAAAAAGAGTCAGGCCCGCACTTGAGGGGCATGTTAAAGACATATAATTAAGTAAGTTTTTAGATGAGATGGTCATACACCCCAATACTTATAACTCATCACACATGTATATAGGCATAAATTGATCATCATAGAAAGAATGAAGTGCAAAAGTTGGAAAATATTATAACCTGCACTAGGCGGACTTCAACTGCTGGCCTGGTGCTCTGATAATGCGCCATTTGCAACAATTTTTTGTGCATCACTACATCTTGTGCTCTCTCAATATTCACAAACAAGGCATACCTACATTGAAGACGAAGATATTACCGATACTGCTAACAGAAAAGTCAACTCGAACCATCAGATTAAGTGGAACAACAACACATAAGTCTCATATCAAGTCTAATATAGTAACTTAGAAAATAGAATAATACTCCCTCCGTTTCAATTTATGTAAACCCATTTGACTGGGCACGAAATTTAAGAAAAGATAGAACTATTTTGTGTGGCTATAAATCATTGCATGAAGATAAATTGTTACCAAATAAGGAAAGTGGTCATTCTTTTTGGCACGAACTAAAAAGAAAATAGGTTCACATAAATAGAAACGAGTATATAGTAACAGCTATAATCAGCTAAATATAACTTAAATTTGATCCGGGGGGGAGGGGGGGGGGGTGTTTAACAGTTTTACCGAAGTGGAAGCTTAGTAAAATGAGCCCACAACTCGTCCTCAAAATCAGGCTGATTCGTGTCTTCATCATTCGACTCCCTTAATCTACGAAGCACCTCTTGAAATACTTCAACTTTTTCTCTTCTCTTTCGAGTAATACGACTCTGTGGAGACTCCGACAATCCTCTACTACTGAAACTTACAGCATCTTCCATTATCAAGAAAGAGAATCAGATTAAGGAATATACAAAAATGAACGTGAATATACTCTCTGATTCAGATTCCAATTCCAAAGTGAAACCATATAAGGAAAAAAGTAAGATAGAGAGATGAATAAGTAAAAGAATAAAAATGTAGTAGTTGAAGTTGTATACGTATATTCTTTATGACAGGTTACATCATGAGCACACGAAAAGATTTTTTAAAAAAAAGCAAACAAAAGCAAGTAAGAACACAGTTTCGCGCTGATGGGGTCAATTTTTTTTACGTATATAATATGGTTGTATCTATCGAAGGACGTGGATTCAAACAAGGTTTGTAAACTTTGCTTATATCACCAAACTGTATTGTTGGGCTTTCTTATTCTGAATTAAGCTTTGTTTAAGGATTATATCCATTTCATGAATATCTTATTGGATAAAATAAATGCAAATTTGTCTGTTGTCTCATTTTCCACTCAAGAGATTCATTATGATGACACCATCAAGAACCTTTTTGAAAAAATCACACATCTTTATTCATATCGGGTATAATTGATAATAGGATTGTTTACCTCATTGCTTGAATCACCATATAGCACACTATTGGTTGGAAAAATAACGGTATGGAAGTTAGAAATAGAAACTGTTGGTTTTAAAAAAAAAAAGGGGGACGCATGAAGATTAAAAGTGTTTGATCTTGTTATAAATATAACTCAAAATAACAATATCGAACAAAGAAAAACAAGCTAAGAGATATAGAGAGAAAGAGAGGAAGAGAGATTCTTATTTCTTCTTCAATTGAATGTTTTTCCTATCTATTACAAGGCTTTCATATAGGCATGAAAAGTGAATAAAAATATGTCATTGAATATGTCATTAAGCATAGAAATATGTCATTGAATATGTCATTAAGCATAAAAATATGTCATTGAATATGTCATTAAGCATTTGAGAAGATCATGGAGGAAGAGTAGACATCCAACATAATTTGATTTCTCTTATATCACTCCCCCTTGGATGTCCATAGATAATGTGCCTCGCTAAAACCTTATTAGGAAAAAATCCTATTGAAAAAAAAAATCATAGTGAAGGAAAAAGAGTACACATGTTTAGAAATACGTCTTTTGGTTGCCTCGTTATAAACCTTGCAAGGAAAACCTAGTGGGACAAAATCTTATAAGGAAAAAAGAGTACAACGCGTATTAACTCCCCCTGATGAGAGCATCAATTCACATCCTTGAGCTTTCGCATCCCAATCTTGTACACTAGTTTCTTAAAGGTTGACGTCGGTAGAGATTTGGTGAACAAATCAGCCATATTATCACTTGAACGGATCTGTTGCACATTGATATCACCATTCTTTGAAGATCATGTGTCAAAAATAACTTTGGTGAAATGTGCTTTGTCCTATCCCCTTTTATGAATCCTCCTTTCAATTGGGCTATGCATGTTGCATTGTCTTCATACAAAATTGTGGGTAATTTATCACACTTCAAACCACACTTGTCTCGAATAAGGTGTATTATAGACCTCAACCATGCACATTCTCGACTTGCTTCATGAATAGCAATTATCTCAGCATGATTAGATGAAGTAGCCACTATTGATTGCTTAGTCGATCGCCAAGATATGGCAGTGCCTCCATATGTAAACACATAGCCTGTTTGAGATCGAGCCTTGTGTGGGTCAGATAAATACCCAGCATCGGCATAACCAACAAGATCGGGACTGCAATCATTGCCATAAAATAACCCCATATCGATAGTCCCTTTTAGATACCGCAATATGTGTTTGATTCCATTCCAATGTCTCATTGTAGGAGCAGAGCTATATCTTGCTAAGACATTAACTGAAAAAGTTATGTCAGGCCTTGTAGTATTAGCAAGATATATAAATGCACTAATTGCACTAAGATATGGTACTTCAGGACCAAAAAGTTTTTCATTCGTTTCTTGAGGTCGGAACGGGTCCTTATTCACATAAAGTGATCGAACAATAATCGGAGTACTTAATGGATGTGCTCCATCCATGTAAAATCGTTTCAATACCTTTTCTATGCAAGTAGATTGATGAATAAAAGTCCCATTTGCCAAATGTTCAATTTGCAAACCAAGACATAATTTTATTTTTCTGAGATCTTTCATCTCAAATTCCTTCTTTAAATAATCAGTTGCCTTTTGGAGTTCTATAGGAGTTCCAATAAGGTTTATGTCATCAACATATACAGCAAGTACAACAAACTCTGATATTATTTTTTTTATAAAAATACATGGACAAATGGTATCATTTATATAACTTTCCTTTAATAAATACTCATTAAGGCGGTTATACCACATTCTACCTGATTGCTTTAGACCATACAAAGATCTTTCCAATTTGATTAAAAATATTTTTCGGGACTTTGAATTATGTGTGTCAGGCATTTTAAATCCCTGGGAAATTTTATGTATATCTCATTATCAAGTGAGCCGTAAAGGTAGGCTGTAACCACATCCATTAAATGCATGTCATGCTTTTCATGGACAGCAAAACTAATGAGATAACGGAACGTTATAGCATCCATAACAGGAGAATACGTCTTTTCATAATCGATACCAGGCCTTTGTGAAAATCCTTGTGCAATAAGGCGTGCCTTATATCCTTGTACCTCATTTTTCTCATTCCTTTTACGTACAAAAACCCATTTATAGCCAACAGGCTTAACACCATTTGGTGTTTTGACTACAGACCCAAAAACTTCGCGTTTCGCAAGTGAAGTTAATTCTGCCTGGATAGCATATTCCCATTTTGGCCAATCATTTCTCTGTCTACATTCATCAACAGATTTTGGTTCAAGATCCTCATCTTGTTGCATTATTTCAATAGCGACATTATAAGCAAAAATGTTACCGATAACAATACTATTTCGGTTCCATCTTTTTTTCGTTAAGACATAACTTATTGAGATCTCTCCATTCTTATCATTTTCAGGTACTTGAACCTCTCTTGAGGTTTTATCATTTGTTATGTCTTTGTGCTCTTCTTGAGTCACTACCTCTGTATTATGATCACTTTGATCATTTGGTCCTTTTCTTTTTCGAGAATTTTTATCCTTAGAACCGATAGGTCTACCACGTTTCAAGCGTGGTTTAAAATTATTTGCTTTAATTAATTGTCCTACCGGAATATCCATTCGAATAGGAGCATTAGCAGCTGAAATATGTGACTTAGTCACCCTTGGTAGGTCAGTGAATGCATCCGGCAGTTGATTTGCAATATTTTGCAAATGAATTATCTTTTGAACCTCTTGTTCACATTGATTTGTTCGAGGATCTAAATGAGATAGTGATAATTCATTCCCATCTATCTCCTTTCTCAGCTGCTTATTTTCTCCCCCTAATATTGTGTATACTGATTCATCAAAATGACAATCAGAAAATCTTGCTGTAAATAAATCTCCAGTCATAGGCTCCAGATATTTTATAATAGAAGAAGATTCATACCCAACATATACTCCTAACCTTCTTTGGGGACCCATCTTTGTGCGTTGTGGTGGAGCAATTGGAACATATATCGCACAATCAAAGATTCTAAGATGAGAAATATTTGGCTCCTGACCGAAAGCCAATTGCAATGGGAGACTTTATGATAACTTGTGGGCCTTATCCGCACAAGTGCTGCTGCATGTAAAATAGCATGACCCCATATTGAAATGGGAAGTTTTATTCTCATAAGCATTGGTCTAGCAATTAATTGGAGGCGTTTGTTCAATGATTCCGCTAGACCATTTTGTATATGAACATGAGCAACCGGATGCTCAATTGTTATCCCAGTTGATATACAATAATCATTAAACGCTTGGGATGTAAACTCACCAGCATTATCAAAACGAATTGTCTTAATTGCATAATCTGAAAATTGTGCTCTTAGCTTTATTATTTGAGCCAACAATCTCGCAAGTGCCATATTGCGAGTTGATAGTAAGCACACATGTGACCATCTTGTAGATGCATCTACCAAAACCATATAATATCTGAATGGTCCACATGGAGGGTGAATGGGCCCACATATATCACCCTGTATACGTTCCAGAAATATAGGGGATTCCATCATAACTTTAATAGCTGATGGTCTAATAATTAATTTTCCTTGAGAACATGCAGCACAAGAGAATTCTTTAAATTGAAGAATCTTGTGGTTCTTCATTGAATGTCCATGTGAATTCTCAATGATTTTACGCATCATAGTAGAACCAGGATGACCCAACTGGTCATGCCAAATAATAAAATTATCTTGATTAGTAAATTTTTCATTTACTATGGCATGCGTTTCAATCTTGCTAATACTTGTGTAGTATAAGCCGGAGGAAAGAGCAGGTAACATTTCAAGCACATATTTCTTATCAGACATTATTGTAGTAATATAAAGATATTCAATCTTTTCATCATTTGTAGTCTCAATATGGTAGCCATTTTGGCGAATATCTTTGAAACTTAATAAGTTTCTTTGAGATTTACTACAATATTGTGCTTCATCAATAGCCAAATTTATTCCTCATGGTAGTAATAAATTGGCTCTTCCAGAACCTTCAATTAATTTTGTACTACCGGATATTATATTAACATTGGCTTCTTTCATTACCAAATAAGAGAAATATCTCTTATCTCTTAAAATAGTGTGTGTTGTAGCACTATCCAGAAGACATATATCATCTTTATTAATCTTGAGTCCAATTGAAGACCGAGAAATTTTCATATTCTTCATAAAAAAAAATCAAAAAGTATATTATAAGAAATATGAAAGACAAACAAAATATATATTAAGAAATACATTAGGAATGTAGAAACTAGCAACACATGATACATTAGGAAAATGCACTTAAGAAAAATAAACTAGTTGCAAACATAACAAAATAACAACTTTTATTATAGCTTCATTCCCAATAAGGTGATTAGTTCTTCAGTCAATATCCTCAAAGAAGTCTCCAGCTTCTAAATGAGTGATATTTGCTAGGCCTCCAAAATCATCATCTTTATATGCAAGATGTGCCTCAGAATCATATTTGTTTGAGGGACCTGCTTCATCATCATTGTTTTGAAAGGTCAAGTGTGCCTCCACATTATTTTCTTTCTTTCTAAGGGAGGCTTGATAAAGTGTGACAAAATAATCTGGCGTACGACAAATGCGTGCCCAATGACCTTTCATACCACATCGGTGACATATACTAATTTTACCTTT